GTAATCGATACTAGACTGGCATCTGTGAAACAGTATTCTTGTGAAGGCCTGTTGTACTTTTTCAATTTCAATGCGAAGTTTACTGCTATTTGGACTCCAAATTTGGGAAGCGTACTCTAAAATAGGAATGACATATGCCTTGTAAAGTTTAACCAGGATTAAGTGGTCATTACCTCTGAAATTTCTGCAAATGGCGAACAGTGAAGAGAAAGCTTTCCGAACAACCTCTTTGATATGTGGCTCGAAATCAAGCTCAGTATTCAAAAGGACTCCGAGATCTCGTACTTCATGTGAGGTACTAAGAATGTAATCGCCAAACGAATAGTCCCAGTACTCTATTCTGCCAATATGAAGGACGGTCGTTTTAGAAAGGTTCACAGGTATATCCCAAGCCGAGGCCCACTCCATCATATTCGCAATAGACTTAGAAAGAGCATCAGAACACATCAGCATGAGTCTTGTTATCATAGATGCCGTAGACTTTAATATCATCTGCATAAAGACGCACTTCGACCAGCTGATGTGTTTTTAGCCTTGCAGGCAAATCACAGGTGTATACCAAGAAAAGCAGTGGCGACAAGACGCCTCCCTGAGGGACGCCACTTATACACGAGTAATGCTTAGAGAATGCCTTACCAACCTTGACGCACATTTTTCTGTCTTCCAAATAAGACCGGGTCCAACATAACAACGAACCTTCAATGCCAAGCTGCTGAAGTTTTGCGATCAACTTTCTGTGATTTACTTTATCAAAAGCTTTTGATAAATCGAAATATATCACATCAACAGATTTTCCACAGTTGGCGGCTAAGGTCCAATCGAAAACGCAGTCAGCCAGCTGGGTTACTGTGGACGCACCCCTAAGCCATGCTGCTCAGGCGGAATCGAGTTTCTTAGGGTAACAGACAGCTGGTATTCTACTACCACGCCATACTTCCAACTAGACGCTGTGCACGCTGGCACCCGCTGGTAAACGCTGGATCGATATCTATACTTTCCACGCCCTCGGGTACGCAAGTGGACGCTGGCAGACGTTGACAGACGCTGGATCGATATCTATACTTTCTCAGTCGCTGACGCTGTCGGACGCTCGGAATACTAGTAGACGCTGCCGCAAAGTATGAACACAGCCTTATTTTCTCAATTCCACTGTCACGCGCGTCACCAAATGCGCAGTTGCGACCCATCTATCTTCAAGATACAGAGTAAACATTTTTCAGCTCCGTGGACAAATTCTAAGTCAAATTGGCATAAATTGGCATAATGACCATGAAAGATTGGTGTGGAGTGAATCAATAGAGCTTAAAAAAGAAATGACGACGTAATGAGAACGATTCGCTGAAGCCATTGCATTACATTCGGTCCTTGCAAACATGGAGTCTTCGCTGCAGATGTTGGGGCGTTCAGGGGACTGGGGTTGGCGCGGTGCCAAACCTCGACCCAAACCTTAAACCTTTGGAGCCTGAGACTCTCGAAGAACAGCCTCGCTATCAATTTTCTGGATCTGCATTTTAGCGCTGCTAGAACGGAATCTAACGTACGTTTCTTGGTATTCACTTTAGGCTGTCAACCAGTACGAAGGAGAAGACTGAAGAGAACAGAATGGCAATGGAACAATTGCGATCAGAACTTAGTGCGACCAGGGAAGAGCTGAGGAAAAGTCTCGAGACGGTAAGCCTAATTGATTAATCGATAACCAGGACAGAGGGGTATCGAAGGATTTCATCTACATACACTTTATCCTCTGCTCCTGCTCGCAGTAATTTCTGAAAAGAAGTAAATTGAATCGGCTGTTCCTCTGCCAATCCATACTGGATATGGAAGGCGCATGGGAATTTTGAAAATTCATTCCATTTTCGAGGACTCCTTAGTTTTTTTCCAGATATCCAAGCTAACCGCTGCTCGATTGGCTGCCGAAGAGATCAACGCCAGCCTTCAGGAGACTGCATCGTCGTTGTCAGATCAACTGAGTAAAATCAATACAGAGGTAAATAAGCGACCAGTTTTTATCGATCGATGTACCTAGTTCGAATACTTGTGGATTTAACATCTTTGTTCGGCCCGTGTCTTTTCTATTAGGTATCGTATCCTGTGGGTATGTGGCAAGAGAATCGTAATTCGTCCGCGCCAGTGGGCGTCGCGTGCGACGTCGCGCCCGCTAATGACGACGATTTCAGGTGGTATTGGTCGAGAACAGACAATGTATGACCAAAAATAGACATAAGTGTCTACCATGTCCTTGTGCACATGAATCCGACGCATCAGCCGAAGGGTAGTGCAAACTGAGGAACCGTCGCGCCCTTTGCCGCGCGCGACGAAGCGGCAATTTACGATTCTTTTGCGCGTCTCTCGTATCCAATCAGCGTTTACTTTGGACAGGGTACAGCATCGTAATGTGTGAGATGGTGGTGTCAGTACGACCCCCCCCCTCCCTTTGAAAGAGGGTCTCGGTGCGACCCCCTTCCCCAACACCTACATGTTCCCAGCTTCCTAGCAATTTTTTTCCCGAAATTACTCGAAGGTTTACCACTTTCTCCGAAAATTGCCGTCAAGCGGGGGCGGGGGAGGGGGGTATAAAGCAGATGTGGAACAAAAAAACCGCGAAAAGTCAACAACCGCGAAAAAACTTCTTGCCAACGCAGCAAGCTTCTCTCGAAGGCACATACGCACCCCCCCCCTTCCTCAGCGGCCAAGTACAATAGCCCCCTCCCCCATGTGTTTCGCACAACGATGCTGTACCATGACTCGTAAAAAGTATAGGCACACCAATCTGAGGAAGATGGAACGAAATCCGCCAATGCAGGATACTTGGAAAGGCAAGTTGTACGCTGGAGAGTCCCTGAGGGGGTCGTATTTGGTCGCTCATGGGAGGTTATGCCGTATTTGACCTGAGAAATTTTCAATAGTCGACTTCTCTGTTTGGAGGGGTAACCCTTCGGAGGGGCTTGATTGCTCACCGCTCACAAAGGAAAATGATCGTATCCGGCCTCAGTCGAAAATTTTTCCGTGTATGATGTGAGAGAAGTTTTTTTTTCGTTTTTTTTATAGGAAGTTATGAAAACATAGAAAGATAGTGATTACGATGGGGAAGGGGTCATTTTCTGGCCGAGTCGTCTGAGTTCCCTTTAAAACAGAATGTGCCCTTCTTGGAGTATTCTCTTCAAGAGGTACTAGCGTCACTGGACGGTAACCCCATGGGAAATAGCTGCTCGCTTTTTTTGACAGTCCGCGCCCCCCCCCCCCCCCCCCCC